GATTAGTATTTTTCCCTGGTGTAAGAAAGGACTTTGAGAGGCCATCCGATGTGAAGGGATGAACTCTCTGCCTGGACACATGTGGGAGGGCCTAGGCCCAGCCCAGGATGATGTGGTCGACTTTTGGGAGCCACTGTCTTGGGCCCTACCCTACCTGGAGAGTGAAGGGTGGATGGGGTGGGTGGTAGATCAGGGATATGGGGTTGGGGTGAGGGAGAGGGACAAGGGATTGACATGTGAAACAAGCTTGTCCCTAATTTGAATTAATAAAAAAATGACAAAAAAATGTATTTACACCTTTTACATTCCAACTGCTGTTCCATTCCCCACTCTCTTTTCATTCTCTCCCTCCACCCTTTCCTCTCAATACACTTCTTTTCTGTTTCTGTTAAGGAAGGGGAAAAACCTCCCAGGGGTAGCACAAAGCATAGAGTATCATGTCACAAGACCACAAAGCATTTCCTCTTGTATTAAGTCTAGACTAGGCAATCTAGTTGAGGAATAGGTTCACAAGAGACAGCCAAATCATTAGGGATCAACAGAATCAAAGCAAGGACCCAAACAAAAATCTTTTTTACAAGGAGGCCAAAATTCTACAATGAAAAAGAAAAACACATCTTCAACAAATGGGGTGGGCATAATGATATCGGCATGTAGAAAAATATAAATAGATCCACATCTATTGCCTTTACAACTCAAGTCCAAATATGTCAAAGACCTCAGCATACATACAGCTAAAGTGAACCCAATAGAAGAGAAAGTCGGAAGTAGCCTTGAACACATTGGCACAGGAACAAATTCCTGAATAGAACCCCAGTAGCAAAGACACTAAGACCCACAGTTAATGAATAGGACTTCATGGCACTGAAAAGCTTCAGTAAGGTAAAGGACACCATGAATAGGACAAAATGGCAGCCTACAGAATGGGAAAAATATTTTCACTGAACTCACACCTGACAACTCCAAAATATATGAACTCACATCTCCAAAATATATGGATAAGTCTTTTAAAATAATATATTGTGTTATTTACTTGAAAATCAAGAGATTTTAGTTAATAGAATAAAAATAATAATATGTAGCGTATTGGTTTTAAATTTAATGTTTTTCATACAATGTATTTTTGATCCCAAGCTCTTCCCTGAACCTCTGAACCTTCCTACTCACCCAACTTCACTCTCTTCCCCTGAAAGCAAACATTCAGTAGATTTGATTGACAGGAAAATGTGTTCTAAAGGAACTTTTAGAGAAAGGTTTACTTTCCACCTGTGCTTTCTTCAGTTATGTCACTAGGTATTGCTGTTTGCTTTGTGAACATTATCACAATGCTCCCAATTTTAGCTCTCAGGTATCTTCTATATTTGTGTATCATACAAAGCATGTTTCTGTCTCCATAGGAATATTGACTTCCTAACCTTTTAGGTGAACTAATTTGGAGACAGAGACATCAAAATTTAAAGACATAAAACAAGTTTGAGTTTGAATAAGTAACACTTGCATTTGATGCATAGTGTGTTTGAAAAATGACTTACCCATGAGAACCATAAAACCACATGCCATTTTTTTCCTATGCTCCAACACTGGTCTTACAAGCACATAAATGCAAACACATTTCTGTTATGTGTCTTGTGGGGGTAGAACTTAAGGCCCTACACCATTATCCTATCTCAAAGAGCCTATGTTCTAAAAAAGAAAAAAACAGCATCTATATGGATGGAAAGGCTATGATAGGATAAAGTAAAGAAGTGGACATCAGGATGCCTGGAAGATATTCTACATCAGGAACCAGTCCATTGGTACTTTGATCTTGCATATCCAACCTCCAGAAATGTGGAGAAATACATTTTTGCTATTTTAACCACCTAATATGTTGTGTTTTCTTACAGCAGCCTGTGGTTACTAACTCAGTGGGCTCCGATCATATCACTTGTATGTACCATCTCTGCTCAGCAGGTTGTATGGATCCCCAAGAGCATCTAACTACACTCCCCAGTGATTGCAAGAATTTATTTTCATAGTTTTGATATGTTCTGTCTACAGATAAGTGGGATCAAATGAAAGCTTTTCAGTAAACGTTAATTTATCTCTACAAATGTTACAACAATATAATCCTATTCTCCCAATACATCTTTAAATCAGACACCAAACTCTGTTCGGGTTTCAAATACTCTGCATTATCAGCAAGAAATGGCATTTGGAGGCATACAGATGATGAAACACAGACATAAATAGGGAGAAATAAAGACATTCTGGTTTGGATTTATTTTAGTTCTTATGGTGACTTTACTTCCAAAAAGTATAAGAAAATAATTGTGAACAAATTAAAAGTTTAACAGAGGATAAATACCTCTGGCCATGTTTAGTCATTAGGGTCAAGTTCTAGATCATTATTTCCTCTTGGGGCTGGATGACATAAGAACTTTTCTGTAACCCAATTAGATGTCGTATGTTCTCCTACAGAGTTATTGGGAATCTAACACTCACTGAGAAGCATGATCATTGCCTGGGGTTAGTATACTAATATCAGATGAGCAATCCCAGTAAAATACCATTATGAAGAATTAATATCTGAATAGATCAATTCCAATTACTTTGTTTGTAGAAATGTTATACTTATTGAATCTTACTATGCTAAAATCCTAGACAAGCTAAAGATCTGAAAAACCTGTTATCAAAGTATGTTTAAATAGATAGCAGTGGAAGAACAGTTGTGGATATTGTTTGTAAAATAAACATTACAGCGTAAATGCTATCTTAAATGCTAATCTTACATTTGTATATACAGAATAGAGTTAAGTTTCAAACTCAGTACAAACAGCTGAGGCGCCTATTTAACATATGAAAGCTGGACCTGGTCACCAGGTTCTAGCAGCATCCTTCAGTCCCTACCTGTTACAGGTATACAGGGCTCTTACATACCCTCTCTCTACTCTGAACTCTATAGCCCAGGGGGTGGCCTCTCTTCCTCCTGAGTTTCTTCTCTATATGATCCAGACATTTTTACTACTGCCCCTTCCCTTTTGGACCTTTGGCCTCTTGGCTGCTGCACCTGTTCCCCCTCTCCTCATCTCCCCCGCCTCCCATTCCCTCCCTGTTTTCCATGTGACCCAGCACAGTCTAGTCAGGTCCACTCTGAAATCTATTAGATGTCCCCTCCTCTGACTACGCTCTCCCACGTATCTACAATTAATGTCTTCTCCATTGTACCTTGTAGCAGTCATGTCCTTTCCTTTTTTAATTACTTCCTTTTTTAAATTCATTACTAACAACTTTGTGATTTTTTTTCACACTTTGACATTTATAACATTGATTATAGATCTTAGAGTTCATGGAATAAACTGTTTCTTTCTGTTTTACATTTATCGGGTGTGTATGTGCCTGTATGTATAAAATGTACTTGTATATACACATATGCAACCAGAGTCTAATATAGGTGTCACATTCAGTAATGCTGTCACTTGCTTCTGGATAGGGTTTGGCATTGGCCTCACTAGCTAGTCTAGAGTGACTGGCCAGGGATCCTCTGTGATTCCAGTGTATCCACCTATTTAGCATTGACTTTTCCAAAGCCTACCTGCATGCCTGGCATTCACATACATATAGACAGCACCTAATTCAGGACCTCATGCTTATGAGGCAAGCACTTATTTGACTGAGCAATCTCTTTAGCTTCATAAACTGCACTGTCATTCTTGTGTATGAGATTGGCCTGATTGAATCTTTATTGTCTTCCGTTTATTCCTTGAGTAACAATCAGTGACAGTAGAGGACAATTAAAAAAGTGCTTGGTAATAATGGAATCGAAGCATAGTTAAAAACTTAAAATAATAAACAGAAATAAATAGTCAAAGAATACTTTTTAGAAGACAATGACTTCTTGAAATGTCATCTATATAACTATTTCATAATATAGCACAGAGAGACAAAGAGAGCATGCAGTTATTTTTATATAATAATAAATGATTTTCATCCAAACAATAGTGTTTCTTAGGATGGTAAAACATTCATTTTAATACAGACTTTATCCCAGCAACAATGCAGAGATTCAATGAGTAACAAGGTTGTAGGGCCAACATTGAACAAAAGATACCTCCATATCCTCATATCTTTAACTCAGTGCCATTACAGCATGTTCACATGCTGCAGTCTCTGTCTACACAATCTAAGCCACTCAACCAATAACTACTAGCACCGTATGCCAGCAAGATGTCTCACTGGGTCAAAGTACTCACAAGATTTGAAACTGAAGTTCATTCCAGATTCTCCAGTGAAAGGTAAGAACAAGTTCTTTGGCATCCATAAACATGTCATGGTATGAACACACATATTCTCTCTCTTCGTTTTCTCTCTCTCTCTCTCTCTCTCTCTCTCTCTCTCTCTCTCTCTCTCTCTCTCTCACACACACACACACATGCACTAATATGTGAATTATTTTAAGAACCCCTTTTCATTTATTATTTATGAGATATAAAACAATTCTATCATCCCCTTACCTATTCTCCTTAAAATCTCGCGTAAGTCCCTCCTTGTTCTTTTGCTTTTCTTTTCATTTTATTTAAAATATATTTTTTCACACAGTATATTTTGATTTTGGTTCACCTCCCTAAACTCTTTCCACATCCTTCCTGCTTCCCTCTCATCAAAATTCATACCCTTTCTTCCTTGCTCTCCTAAGAAAACAAACAGGCTTGCAAAAGATAAAATAAAAGCAAGCAAACTAGGACACAATATGCAGAAGAAAAGGAGCCAAAGAAAATATTCTCTTTCAAATCTTTGGTCTCCCCTTTCATTATATACACATATATTCCAAAATAAAACCCACTCAGTCTGTAAAAATGTTACTTCCATGTATTTTTTTCAGGGATGATCGATTGCTATCATAAAACCTTTATCTTAAATGGGACTCAACAATGTTTGCTTCTATCCAAATAATTACACTTTCAAATATTACACTGTGAGCCCCCTGTGCGCCATGCAGTGGACATGGGTCCTTTACTTACCTAAACCAAGAGATGGTAGGATCTGGAGAGCCTGAGGCCCTGCAGGTTAATGTCATCTCTTCTCCTCTCTCTGCAGTAGCATTGAAGGACTTCTGGGGCATAACGATTGCTGGTGGAACTGAAGGACAAAGGACACAAGGTAAATAGATGCAACTAGAACACTGCACCAAACAAATTTTGCCATTATCTTTTAGTGCTTTTATTCTCCAAAGTTACTTTCTGCTTTCCCAGAGAATTAAGGTCAATGATATGCTTTCTTACGCATAATAGGATAATTCACCATGTTATTAGTTTAGTATTTCTCAATCTGTTAAACAATGAGCTGTGTATTTTAGTGAACATATACAAGGTATGAAATATGTCTCACACAAAGGCACAGCAGCACGGGACTTAATCCATACTGAAATCTACTTGGAGCATAAATGGATTTCCTATTTGGGTTCTTATTGGTCTCTGTAATTCCATAGGCCATCATTCACTGTTTCAAGACAGGGCTTTCAAATTAGGTGTCAAACCATAATGTTCTTTCTGATTAACTACACTTAATTTCTTCAAACAACTATAAAACATTTTATGAAGAGAAACTGCTTCATCTATAGAGTATGAAAATAGATTTTCATGAACAATTCAATTTTAAAATTAAGCTTCCTCAATTTCGAACTAATTACGTTGCAAAATTGTACACACTGCACATTCTGGTCATGTTGAAACTGTGGCTGAAATGCAGTGTTTGCAATAAACAAGTCACAGATTTCCATAGTGCTGCCTCAGTTTCAAAGTACAGCCTGAGCTGGGGCTCAGTGCACATTCCCATGCCCTTAAAGAATATAGGATGAAGAAATACTTGTGAAATAAATACATTAATAGATTGATTAATATATATGCATATATACATATATATGGAAGTAATAGGCAGTTAGAGATTTGATTATGATTGCATAGCTTTAGTGCAGTGTTCATGTCTGCATTGCTAAGGCATTGTCTCAATGACAAGGTGGAAAATAACTGATATGCACCTGAATAACTAAACACAGTATCTAACATATTTTCCCTAATGAGGGTTGGTACAGGGATTATGTTCGTACATGGTATAGCATAATAATAATTACTAGCATCCCCAAAGATGAACTTTTATAGATACTAAATTCTATTTCTTATTGTTATTATTATAAATACACTCATTTTTCACCATATAAACTATTACTTTAATTTTGTGTCTTGTGAGTGAATATTAGATGAGGTATGTCACCATTTGTGCTGCCTTTATTTTAATTTTTTTAATATTCAACATAATAATAAGGACCCCTTCACTTTTCTCCTTCCAAACTCCCCATATTCCACATATTCCTTCATAATAATAGCATTTTTCTTTAATTGTCAATGCATGAATATATGTATACAATATTTATATATTCTTAAAATATAACCTGTTCAGTTCAAAAGATCCTTGCTTGAGTATTTTCAGGGTTGTTTTGCACTGGACAACCAAATGATTTGTTTTTTTGTGTTTTTTTTTTCTTTTTTCTTTTCACATCTCTGTCCAGGGTATTGTGCTATTGTCTTAGAATTACATATAGAATTATAGTGTTCTTGATTTTTTCTGGATGGAAATCAGTTTTGGTGAGTTACTGAGTGCAGCAGTTCTGTTATGTCCAGAAGGTATTAGTTTGTATTTACCTTGCCCAGTCTGTGATTTACAATGTTTCTGTCCCACTCCAATGGTTTTCCTGAAGCCTTGGGAGCAGAAGTAGGATGGAAATGTCCCATTTAGGTTAGACTAAATTCCAGGGTCACTTACTCTCTGGACTTCACCAATTCTGGGTCTCTATAATCAGCACTATCCACTGCCTAAAGAATCTACTCTGATGAGTGTTGGAAGCAGTAGCATTTTGGTTGGCATAATTTTTTTCTCTTTTCCAATTTATAAATTAAGTTGAAGGAATGGTTAAATTATTTTTATTGTAGCAACCCATATTTTTATCACACCACAGAAAACAAATGCATTAACAGAAATCCCTCTATTAGGTTTCTCTAGATAGAAACACTTCTGTGATAGGAAAAAGTTTTTCTAGTTCTCTTTCTGATGACTGAAAGAGGCTATTTAATATTTCTCAATATTTTATTTTCAATAAGCTTCCCAGGTTGGAAAAATGTTACTAATTATGTTTTATATAACACTGAATATGTCTGTTTTTATGTCATAGTGTAAACCAACAGAAATGTATTCTCCCTGAGGAATTAACACAATGTTCTGAATACCAGTTACTAGGCTGCTCAGTTTAATGTGATACAAACAAAACCAAATCATATCATAGTATTCATTGTCTTTTGATTTTTTATTGGTTTGCTTATTTTCTCCCATTTTTGGCACTATAATATAAATTTATACCTCCCAGGTTGCCCAATAGTTCTTATTTTATCACATTTATTTATTTGTATATGTATGCTTACATACACACTCATGAACAACCCAAGAAAGCTTCTTCTTCCCCTGTGTGTATCACAGGAACCAAGTTCATGTTACAGGATTGGTAGAGAAAGATTATCCACTGAAGCACATCTCTCTCCAGCCCATCACTATAGCTTTTGACAATTCCACTGATTTCTGTTTTTTTTTTGTTGTTGTTGTTAGTTGGGATTATCAACACAAAATGTTATTTAGTGTGTATTTTATTTGGAGTTAAAAATGTAAATTCTAAGTAGGCTTTTCAAATAGAGCAGATGTCAAAAGTTCCAATGAGTTTGTTTCCCATTCTTTTAGGTATAAATATTTACTAATTCGGTTTCACTCATATGCCATAGGATTGAATTTGACATCTTTGGAATGATGTTAATGATGATTGTAAGCCATCATGTAGATGCTAGGGACTGTAGAGAAGCCCTCTGAAAGAGCAGCCAGTGCTCAGACCATTAAGCAAGGAATCCAGTCCCTTATTTTCACATTTTACATTCTGTGAACACTTTAGAAAGTCACACAATGTATTCCGACTGGAATTTATTACAAGATTGGATGGACCTGGTGGACAGTTAACACCTATGTGTTATAACATCTGCTATGAACACAGAAAACACATATTATTTTCAGGACTTCTGATGTGTTCAATAGCACAAGACTTTTCTTATTACATATAAATATTGAAAACAAATGAACAAAAATGTGAAATGATTCAGAAGTCACATTTGCAAAGCCTATTCATATCACTCAAGGAGAGCATAGTTTTTCATTTTAAATTATTATAATAAATCTTTTGATAAGGAAGCAAGCATCCTGCTGTTATGATTTACATCTTTGTCATGTTTTTATAATTAATCTCATATAATAACGTGTTGTGAAATGTGATGTCAGTGCAGTAGAGACAGTGAATTAAGTTAATTCATTAATATAAACTTTCATGCTAATCTGGAAAAAGTGATTACTTCCAATAGTCATATCAGGTCTGTATGAAATCATATTTACAATAATTCTTAACTCATTAAATTTTTATGTTCTACTTCCTATGCAATATAAACTTAAATCATCTCAATTTTCATTAATATTGGTTATGGTTACTTGCAGTAAAATTAATTTTCTTATTGATGGAGATGGATCAAACTAAACTGATATTTAATAAAAACTTTTTTGGAACTCAATATATACAGAATTTAATATACTCACTTTATTCAATGATAGACATAAACAAAACAATGTTAAAATTTCATTTGAATTCTAACCCATTGCTTAAAATGATTTAAGCATATATAGTCAGTTATTTTTGGTAAATATTTCTAAATTGTGAACAACCATCAATGTCAGAAAAATCAGTATTTCATTTCTGTTTTGGTATGAAACCTATTACTACATACTCAAGTTAGGAAATGATAACAAATAAGGGGTAATATCATATTTTAACTTTTAAACCATCAATACAATGCTTCAGTGAAAGAAACATGATCACATAATTAGTACTGGATATTGAAATAAAGCTCATTAAGGAAAAGCAGTAGATTTGATATCATCAGATAATAATAGTGAAGATGAAATAGTTCTATTACATGATTTTTAAAATTTTATTTTAACAGTTTTTCATTTATTTTATTTAGAGACCATTGTTTCCCCTGGCTCCTCTCCTCTTGTTCCCTCCCCTCCACTCCTTCATCTCCATTCAGAAAGGGGCAGGCTGAACAAAGCCTTGTACATGAAGCTGAGGCAGGACCAAGCTCTTCCCCCTGTAACAAGACTGGGCAAGATAATCCAGCATGGGGAAGAGGTTCCCAAAAGCCAGCTGAGGGCCATAGACAGTTCCTGATATCACTGCTAGGATCCTTAAAAATAGACCAAACTACACAATTGCTACACACATGCAGAAGGCCTAGGTCAGTCCCATGCAGCACCTCTAACTGTTGGTCCAGAGTCCATGGACCAATAGCTGACCTCAGCTGATCTATTATGTGATTTTTTTTAAAGTACATTTACAGTGGAACAAAATGGTCTAATTTTAGATCACAACCAAATCTGTGTGAATTTGGCATATTAATTAATTGCTTGAGAACAAAGAAGGCAGAGATTAGGAGGGGGAGATTGTGAGGGACAAGCACTAAAAACTGATTAATTTCAAGTCAGTTGAAAGATTGATTGCTACAGGTTATGTAGAGAGAATTGGTTTAAAATTCAGTTGGAGAATTTCAGTGTTGACATAGATTCTAGGAAGGTTACCACTTGATTTTTAGCTATAATAAGATCCCTGGAATGTGTGATACATATGAAAATTCCCTTAGAAAGCCCAGAAATCATTACCTTATCTGTGAGTTTTCACCTGTCCTAATCAATCCCTTAGCTCGACTTGAAGTTCAGTAAGAATTTCAGTGAGCTACTGCACTCCAATGTTGGTTGACAGTGAAGACAAGGCAATGTTCTGCACAAATTGGGCCCCTGAGAGTCTCTGAATGTTTCTACTTGCTATACCCTATCCTTTCCTTTCAAATAAAACTTTTAAATGTGTATACCCTATGGAATGTGGGCAGCATTTCAGTTAGACTTCAGAAAAAAAAAGATGCAGCATTAGTAGAATGAGATCTTTTGAGGAGAAAATTATGTAATTAGTAAGAGAAAGGATGAATAGTTTGCTAGAGATGAAGCAT